AATTAAAAGAAAACGTTTAATGGAGAAAAAATATCCTAAAAATAAAATTCAAAAGATTGAAAAAGCAATAAAGATTAAGGTTTTAGAAATATCTGATTCCGAGATTGATAGTCCAATGAAAGAGGAAATTTTTATTATATTAAAGGATAACTTTGATAAATTATCAAAAAATCAACAATATCAAATTCTTACAATTTTGCCTCAAAGATGGAGTGTAAATAAAATTCAAAAGGAATTCAACGTAACATCATACATGGCAAGAAAATGTAAAATGATGGTAAAAGAAAGTGGAATTCTTTCATTTCCAAAACATAAGGCAGGAAAGACACTAAACGAAAAAACATTTAAACTCGTCAAGGATTTTTATAGTTCTGATGAAATAAGCCGACTCATGCCAGGAATAAAAGATTGTGTATCTGTTAAAGGCGAGAAAGAACCAGTTCAAAAAAGACTTATATTAAATAATCTTAAAGAAATATTCAAGATGTTTAAGGAAGAATACCCAAATATATCAATAGGATTCTCTAAATTTGCCGAACTTAGACCAAAAAACTGTATTTAGTTGGAGCTAGTGGCACACACACTGTTTGTGTCTGCGCTATTCATCAGAATGTGAAATTAATGACAAATGTAATAGCTGAAATTACAGCAGGAGAAGATTACTGTATAAATTCTTACAACTATCTATTGGCGCAAATTATTTGTAATCCATCTCAGCCAAAATGTTATTTAACAAATTGTGATCAATGCCCTGGTATAGAATCTCTTAAGGGACAATTATACCAATTGTTTCAGAGAAATCGTATAGAATATGTCACTTAAACAATGGATCACGGTGGATAGAACAAATCTTGAAACTATTATAAAGTCCGTTGATGATTTCATCGATTATTTATTAGAAAAAGTTAAAATTTTACTGCGTCACTCGTTTATAGCTAAACAACAAAGTTTATTTTTGAAGAATTCCAAAGAAAATTTAAAAGATGGGGAATTTTTAACAATTCTAGATTATTCTGAAAATTATTCCTTCATTTTACAAGATGAAGTTCAGGGATTTCATTGGAACAACGTGCAGGCCACTATACATCCATTTGTAGCATATTATAAATCTGGAGAAGATTTAAAAAATATAAATTTTGTTATTATATCCGAATCATTAAACCATAATACTAGTGCAGTCCACCTTTACCAAAAAAAATTTATTAATTTCTTAACAGCCAAATTTAATTCTAAACCAGAAAAAATAATATATTTTTCAGATGGAGCCGCGTCTCAATACAAGAATCGCAAAAATTTTCTGAACATATGTCTTCATAAATACGATTTTAATATTCCTGCCGAATGGCATTTCTTTGCCACTGCTCACGGCAAAAATGCATGTGACGGTATCGGGGGAACTTTCAAAAGATTAGTTGCCAGAGCTAGTCTTCAAAAACCAAATAAAAATCAAATCCTAACCCCATTAGAATTATATAATTATGCTAAAGAAAATATTAATGGAATTCAATTTGAATATATATCCAATCAAGAATATATCGAAGGGGAATTAGCCCTTCGCAAAAGATTTAATTCTGCGCTGCCCATACATGGGACCTTAAAAATTCACTGGGTTATTCCCATTGATCAAAATAGACTAAAAACCAAAATATATTCAAATTCTAAAAAATATAATATAAAACAAGTTTCGTTTTTAAATGAAAAAATTATATTTAAAAATATTAATGGATATGTAACATGTGTATATGATGATAAATGGTGGTTAGGATATATAATCGATAAATATGATACAAATGAAGAAGTAAAAATCCGATTTTTACACCCTTGTGGACCTTCAGCCTCATTTAAATTTCCCCTGAAAGATATTTTAGTGTTACCTAAATCTCATATTCTTTCACTGGTCAATCCTTCTACTCCCACCGGTCGAACATATATATTATCTTCTGAAGAAATCTCACAAGCTAGCCAGGCTTTGTGTTCCTTTAGATGAAGTAAGATTTAATTAATTTATAAACTATCTTAATTAGGCTAAATTTGTGAAGATTTTAAAAATTTATGATCTGAATTACAAATAAATATATATAATGGACATTGTAATCGATTTAGTATGATATATATACATTAAAATATTTTTAATCAATAAAAAAATGAATTTTAACATATTAAAACTATTATATATAGCGCCATCTATTTTTTTTAAAGTATAAAAATCGCAATAAATTTTAAAATAAATATCCAGCCATGCTAATTGTTGAAGAAATTATTAAAAAAATAGTAAACGAATAATATTTCTTAAAAAAATTAAAAATCGGAGATCATATACATTTCGAAATATTAATTTCAAGTTTTCAACTGACCATAAGATGACCCATATTTTATCAAAAATTAATTTTGATGTTTTTGCCATAATCATAAATTATTAACTTAGCTATTGATATTATATTCAATATTTGATCATATTTAGTTTAAAATTAAAAACTAGTTATTTAACATCAGTAAAAAGCAAAAAAAGACGTTTTTTAGACCTTTAACCCCGAATATCTCCGCTAATATAGTTGCTAATCCGCTAAAATTTTGTTTCTAATCTAATGGGAACATATATAACCAGCCTACGATTTTTCATAAAATCGAAAGGGGTCGGCCGAAAAGTGATTGATTTGACATGGAATGACCCATACATTTACCTTGAATCTCGATTAATACATATTATAATATGTTAAAATGGTGTCCGAATTCTTTATTGGTCTTTTTAAACGATCAACTTCTTTTATATTTTAAATGGAGACTGCTGATCCTGTGTCAATTAAAAAGTTAATATAAATTTTATCTATCAATAATTTCACCTCAAATCTTGCTCGTGACTCCTCTGAAGAATCCCAATCCTCAATTTTTTCTCGCCCCTTTTCTGGAATATCTATCGTTAGAATATATTCTTTCTTAACCTGCATACTTTCTGTAAATGTCTTTTTATCCCACAATTATGACAGATGGTATTTATAGGGCACTGCGGTTTTATGTGATTTTCTAATCCACAACAATACAAATAATTTATGAAACTGATTTATACTTATTATACTATTCCCTTGTTACTGTTGATATTTTATTTATCTCCTTTCCTGCAGATAATTTTTCATATAAATCATTTCTGTTGTCTCCATTGAAGTAGCGATTTGTACAGCCTTTATCCATGTCAAGTCCGGCGTGTTGATTAATTTCATTAATATTTTTCCATTAGTAATTCCCGACACATCTCTTTGAATTCACACGTCTTTGCTTTTATCTTTAATTTATTTATATATATTCTGTAATTTTTTCTCCTCTTTCTTGTTCCGTTTTAAAAAAACAATATCTCTCCAACATAAAATTCGTTTTCTTCGCATAATAATTTTTTAATAGTATAATTATATCATCATATGATATTTCCTCTAATGTCTTTGGCAAACACAACGTAAATAATTTTGAGCAAACCTCAAGTCCATTATTTGCTAATAAAAATTTGTCTTCTATTTTGGCGATTTTAAAAATGAATTCCATCTTTGATAAATAAACTTCCATTTCACACTCTTTCTCCATTTGAAACTGCGCCATGTCGTAATTATGTAATAATCTAATATCGTAGTTATGTAATAATCTAATATTTTATTTCAATCATGTTATTATCTGTTATTTCTCTCCTTTTATATAAAATACATTTATTTATTTATTTTTATAACATTAATTTAATTGAATACAATATATCATTTTATTATGCCTTGAAGGTATTCTATTACAGTAAGAGTAGTACCAAAAAGGCTATCAATTGTTAAATTGAGTCTTTTTACTCTCTATTGTAAATACACATTTAGGCCTTTTTAGTTTTTGTGCTTAAAAAATTTAATAATATCATACATTTTATATATAAATATACTAAACTATTGTTATAGAATTATAAACATAATATATTTGCAAAAATTGCAACTTACATAATTAAGTTTTTCTTTGTTTTTATCATATATAAATGAAAACATTTTCCAGACCTCAGATTTGCCATTGGCATTTTCCCTTACTTTATATTCATTGCTCTTAATCTTTTCACCAATTTTTTTTAATTTGGCATCCATTGAAATAATTTTTTTAATATGAAAATATGAGGCTATTTATTTAAATAGATATTAGTAAAATATAATTTTAATGTATGTAATAATATCGTAACTATGCAATGCAATATACTAAAATATAATCACATAAAATAGTTTGATAAGGTTGTTATGTAAATTATAAAATAATAATTGAAAATAACATGTTATTCTGAATGATATTTTAATGTCATAAATAAAAAAGATATGGTTATATAATTGACATTACTAATTATAATGATTATTTAGGATATTTTACTAATATTTATATCTCGGGTCGGGTCGGACAGCTCTTACAACCCGGCCAGAAAAATATTTTTTAATGTCCGAGCCCGACCCGAGCCGGACAGCCTGCGCAGTTCTCTAAACGGGGGTTTATCTTAAAACAATCATAAAGAAAAGTATTAATTAATCTTAAAAGATATCAAATATTCGTCGGTCTAGAATTGGAGTGCTCCACTTGAGCAAATGTTTAAAATGAGTTAACATAAAGTTTAAAATAAAATATAGGAAAAAGTTATTGATCAATTTTGACAATAACTTTGGCCAAAATTAATATTTTTTTAATCTAGTTTTTATTTTTATATATATTGGGAATAAATAAGTTATTATCCGCCTCTAACTCAAAAATTTTGAATGTTTAAAAATGAGAAAATCAACATTAAAGTTTAAAATAAAATATAGGAAAAAGTTATTGATCAATTTCGACAATAACTATGGAAAAATTAATATTTTTTAATCTAGTTTTTATTTATATATATTAGGAATAAATAAGGTATTATCCACTTCTAACTCAAAATTTTTAAAAATGTCGAGTGGAGCGCTCCAATTCTAGACCGACGATATTATACTGTACAATATTAATGCAAATTTAATGGTATATTATAGATAAAAAACCTAAAAATGATTCCAAGAGGTCGGCCTTATCCTTGGTAGTCAAATCTATGGGTTGAATGTTCGAAATGACAAATCTATGCAAGGCTAAATCGTTGCAAACTTCACATTGAGTTTGATTGTTGACTAAACAACTCCGTAATAACTAATTATCATTCCAATATACATCAAATAAAACAAAGATTTGTTGAATCATTTTACTTATTATGTTAAACCCAATAGAGTTTTCAAAGCTAAGCTTGTTTTATATTCTTTTATAATACATATAGAAGAGTTATTGATGCGCAATTTAAGAAATTTCATGTACAGTAAAACTTTTCTATAGATAACTCGGATATAGTTAATTTTCGTTCTTGTTAATAAAATTAAAGTCCGGCTAGAAGCCTATTTGACCGAATGTTAAATTTTTGTTTTTAGTTAATTTTTTATATTTAATTCTTCGCTACAGTTAACTAAGTTATGTTATAGTGTTGTTAATTGGTTGGTTGTGTAAACCCCAGACCGGGGGTTTGGGTCTAAAAACGAGTAAATCAGCTCTGAGCACGAACCCCGAGCTCAGACCCGGAGCAAAAACCGACCTATAGTTATTTTTTGTTGAACTTAGGAAAGTATATATGTTCATTATATATATCAATCGAGAGCTAATCAAAAAATCTATTCATTAGGACAAGCGTTTCTTCTGGATGGGCTAATCTAAGGCTTGGGGGGTCAGGAATATTTCTATCAACATAAGATAATAATATGGGTATCAAATAAAAGGTGTTTTAATTATATCTTGACTGTAATCATAATTATTATTCTAAGTGGGCGGTCCTAGGTCTTGAGGGGTCAGGAATATCTTTAACAATCCAAAATATTTATACAGGCGTCAAGTAAAAGTTAATTTAATTATACTTCAATTGTAATTATAATTTTAAGTGGATGGGTCTAGGTCTTTGCAATATGAGTAGTGATGTTAATCGACTAAATAGTTATTGAAAAATTATTAAATTTGGATATCGGGGCCATTCATAACATGAAATATCTAAAAGTTTTATAATACAAATAATGGAAGAAGAAAATAGAAAAAAAATATATAACCTAAAAAATAAGGGAATGGTTTAATTTTTTTAAAATATTTATATTTATATTAAATAAAAATTGAATTATTAAAATGGAATATACAAAATAAAAAATTTATTTTCTTTTTCTTTTAATAATTTGCAATTTTTTTAAAAAAATATGAAACAAAATAACAAGGAAGAAAAAGTAAAATAAAAAGAAAAGTAAATAATATATAAATATAAAATTTAAAAAAATCGTCTGGGTTTAAAAAATAAATAATAATTATTTTCACTCTTTACACTTCTTATTTTTTTTCTCGCTTTTAAATATATTAAAAATACAGCTAGATATTGATATCTTGTTTGAGGAGATTATTAAACTCTCTATTTTTTGATTCTCCAAAATATAAAGTCTAAAATAAAAGCATTGGAGAAATGGGTATAATTTTTTCGTAATAATCCCCACGCTTAAAAATATTCTAACATGTATTCTCTTTGAAAAATATTACAAAATCTTTGTTATAATATATATAAAGTATTTAAGAATTAATTTTTTTTTTTTTGGGGGGGGGGGGGGGTTAACTAAGCCATTTTTCATAATTCTCCCTCAAAATAAAAATTTTCATAAAATTTCTCCCGGAGTTTTCTTTAAAAGTCAAAAAAAAATCTTTTCCTCTTCATGACTTCTAAATATCTTACAATGCATTAAAAAATTATATTTTTTTAAACTATCACAATTTGTTCTCTTGTGATTTATTATAAGTTGTTTTGTTTATCCCATTCAAATTATTTTTTCTGAAATTCACACTTTTAATTTAAAATAACATATTTATGTATTATTTCCCAAATTTTACATATTTCTAAATAATAAATCATTTATTATTATAAATCCAAATATTCATAAAACTTTTTTTATGTTTAACAAGAAAATAAATAAATTCTATTCTCCGAGTCTGTGCTAAGGGTTCGTGCTCAGAGCAAACCTGTTGGGTCGTAAATATTACAACCAAGCAAATTAACAACACTAGCTATGTACTTTACATATCTTATAATGTTTTGTTATAGTTATCAATTTATTTTATTTAAAAATTGTTTTTATTTTTAACTATTGACATATTATTCTAAATTTTAAATTAAAAATAAGATAATGAATATTTTACAAGATTTATATATAGTAAATAAAGTTAGTCATCAGATATAGTTAATAAAGTTAACTATATCATGTAATAGGATAAAGTTAAATTTCAATATAGTTAATTAAATAGACAAGAAAGGCTCACATAAGAAAATTCAGGCATTTTTTGTATTAAAAAACTATATTGTTAAAAATGAGGATAACTTACAGATAAATGGCCTTCATGGTGGTAAGGGAAATGCTTGTAGAGATACTCGGAAGTTATGAGCTGTAATATTGTATCACCCAAAAATTCAAGTCGTTGATTGTGTCCCCTATATTAATGTTTAAATTATTCGAAGGAAATAACTATTCAAATGGAAACTGTTATAAAGCAAAAAAAAACTGAAAAAAGTGAAAAAGAGATGTTTTGTCTTATGCTTTAATGTCATCAAATTTTAGAAATCAACTTCTCATTTTCTGCCATCGAAAAAGCAGGTCCTTAAAAAAAAGAAATATGCCGGCCTCACCATAACAGTGTTTATACCGATCTTTACCAATACCTTAAGCAGGTTGGGAAGTGAGACCCTCAATTTTATTAAAACCATAGGGAAAAATGAAAGAGATCACTGAGGACCCCAATGAAGCATTTAACCTTAGCCAACAGATTTCTCTCGAAAGCATTCACTCTTCTCTAGGGTGATATGCTTTTTAAATATTTAGTCCTTTTTAATGTTTTTCTATAAAAATATATATTTTTTAAATATAATTTTTACTATTTCCTTTTTTGTTTATTTTAAAAAATATTTTTAATTTGATATTGTTCGTATTTGTATTAATTTTATTAAATTGAAACCGCTTTTATTAAAAATAAAAAATTTACCAAATATTTATCCTGTATTTAAAAAAAATGGGATTATTAATAACATCACTTGCTTTGGTATAAGTTTCTAAATTAGTTTTCTAAAAACTTGCCTCACTTCTCTATGGTTTCTTTATTGTCATTCGCAAAACTGATTGAGGAATTAGTCAGTAATAGTCCCCAAAATCCTACCTTCAGCCTCCCGTGGAGAGGGAATGGTAACGTATTTTGGCGGCTAATGGAGGTCTAAAAGGTTCCCTGTGGTCAGTCTAGAATAGGAACACTGTCTCCTCGACGGGGTGAAAGCACTGAAAGGGTTTATGTCAGGAAGGACATCCGATTGTAAAAACTTTGTTACAAAATTTCCTAATGATTACAACAAAGCATGGGCAGGGTACAGCTCAAAGTATCCCGTGGGTCTCCTCATCCGCCTAGGACAAAAAGAAGGAGGGAAAACCTGGTGGAACCACGATTCGTGAAAATGATATGACAGCTATAAACGACCTTCTTCTCCGTTTTATGGCGATTTCCAGGTTTACCCGGGTAGTCCAGTTTTCCCTCTGATTTTTCTTTTCCATTTTTGACGGTCCTGAGCATCAATACTTGTAAGATTCATGCTTCTCATATCTGCCGCTATCACATTTGTCCATGTCATCTTGGGTCTTCCTCTAAGTCTTGATCCTCCTACTTCTATCATTGTGCATCTCTTTACCCAGTCATCTCTTGTCATACGTTCCACATGCCCAAACCATCTTAGTCAATTTCGTCGCAATACCATACCAATCATTTCTATACCTAATCTTGCTCGCAATTCCTTGCTAGTTTTTCTCTATCTCAGAGATACCCCACACATCCATCTAACCATCCTCACCTCTGTTCTTTCTAATTTGGCTTCGTGAGTCGCTTTCATTGCCCATGTTTCACCGCCATAAACTAAACAACTTCTCACACAGCTTACGTAGACTTTCCCCTTTAACTTCAGAGAAACTTTTTTATTTGTAAGAATAGACGACATCTCTCTGAACTTCTTCCAAGCTTGTCTGATCCTTGCAACAACGGCAGAATCTACACCACCATCTGCGTTTAGCATATCACCTAAATAACAAAACTTATCCACTTTTTCTAGGGTTAACCCATTGCCAATATCCAGACCACCATTTTTTAGGTTATCATTATTATGTATCCCTTTTATGCATGTTCTACAAATAAAGGTCATTCTTTCTAACATCAGACTGCCTTTTTTCCCGCTACATCTTTTATGTAACCATTTCTGGCATCTGGTGCATTGGATAGAATTTCTAGCAACTCCTTTCCCACATACACCACAAGGCCACTTACCTTCCTCCATCTTTAGATTTTCCCTACCAATCACCTTTGTTTTTGATGCATTCATTTTCAGGCCCTTTGCTTCCATAGTCATTTTCCAATTACTAACTTTATCCCTCAATTCTCCCTCACTGTTTGTTATTAATACAAGATCATCTGCATATAATATCTCCCAGGGAAGTCCTTCACGCATTTCTCTAGCCACCACATCCATTACTAAGATAAATAATAATGGACTCAGCACGGATCCTTGATGAAGTCCTACCTTCACCTCAAAGCTGTCACTATCACCATAATCCGTCCGTATTGCTGTTTGTGCTCCAACATACATTGCCATCACTGCGGTAACCAACCATTCCTCCACACCTGATTTTCTCAAGGCCCATCTAGTAATCTCACGCGGCACCCTATCAAATGCTTTCTCCAAATCAACAAACGCATAATAGAGTTTCTTTTCCTTCGCAAGATACTTCTCCTGAATTTGTCTCACCACAAAAATTGCATCTGTTGTGCCTTTTCCCGATGTAAAACCAAACTGCATTTCATCAATTTAATTTGTTCCCTTAACCGCTTCTCTAACACTCTCTCAAATACTTTCATTGCATGTTCCAAGAATTTAATAGCTCTGTAAGACCCGCAATCTAAAGGATCACCTTTCCCCTTGTATACTGGGATAATTATACTTCTTCGCCAGTCCTCGGGAATAGTACTTTCTGTGACAATTTGATTAGCTAAATTCATTAACTATTCAATCCCTAAATCATCAGAACCTTTAAACATCTCTGATACCACCATCGTTAAACCCGATGCCACTGCTCTCTTTATCTCGTCCTTGCTAAATTTACACCCTGGACCTTCTACCTTTGCACAACTAATATTATTATCCCATTCATTTACTTCATTCAAAAGTCCTTTCATGTAAATCTTCCAGGTGTTCTTAACCCGTTACTGGTTAACGGTGCATATATGCACCACCTCCTATATACCTTATTTTAACATAGTAGTTTTTATTTTAAAAAATAATAAAAAAGATTTTTATATAGTTCAGACATTGTACTTCAAAACTGGAAAAGAAAAATATGAAAAAAATATTTTTTTATGTCCCTAAGAAACCCTCAAACTTTGCGAATTTATGAGGTCTAAAATGCAAAATTTTCTAAGTGATCTCACAAGCATATTATAAAATTATTTCGATGAAAACTAGTGTGTATATATTCTTTATAGATATATCAATATTTATCAATCATTTTTGAATTTTTAAATAATTAAAATTTTTATAGATAACCACATAAAGTTGACTGGTGCATATATGCACCGTTAACCATCTAGCAGTATAAATTATTTAAAAAAATTCAAACAAATGAAATTTAACATAATGAATTATAATTTTTTATATTATACTTAAAACCACTACCATCACTAAGGTGGTGGGAGGAGGGGTGGGTGGCTCGAGCCCCCTAAGAATTTTTTTTAAAAAATTTTATACCCAAAAATAGACCTTTTGAAAATAATTAAAAAAAAATTTTTAGCCCCCTGAGATTAAATCGAATAATATATTGTTCCTATTATAATTTTTTATCCCGATCAAATTATATGAAATTATTAGGTTCATAAATATTCAAAAGTTTAAAATTATTTTTAGCCTCTTCCTTTCTGAAGATTTTATTTTATTTATATAAAATATTATGCACCTGTTTTGTCAATTCAATCAAAATTATCAAAATAATAGATGACTAATAAAAAAATCAAGATTCTACGAAAATAATTTGTCTAGATATTTAATTTTTAATAAATTTTTTTAATGAAACGTTTTCTAACAATTGAACAAGCGCTTGCTCAACTTTTTGAAGAGGAACCAATTGAAGAAAGAGATATGGTTATAATTCCGCCAAACCCCTCTGCAGTTAGTGATGAAGAAGATTTCGATGAAAATGACTTAACAAATGTCGGAGTTTTGCCTTCAGATACAGCTGGAGAATTGGAGATTCATAATTCAGTTGATGACGACCTTCCAGAACCATATTCTACAAGAAGCTATTCTCGAATTTCTCACAATTTAAAATGGAGAAGAAAAACGGATGCAATATATTCTTCAAGCCCTTTCGATGGAGAAAAGGAAGATGTAATAAAACTTGAAAATGATTTACATGGTAAAAGTCCATCAGATATATTTTCTTTAATTTCGACAAAGATTTATATTCCCTAATTGTAGAACAAAGTAATATTTATGTAAACAAATGAATAGACCTAACATATGCATAACCATCCAAGATATTCAGAGATTTATTGGAATTCTATTATTTACTGGATATCATTCTCTCCCACAAGAAAGAATGTACTGGTCTAATGATAGCGATATTTCTATTCCAATAATCCGGGATAAAATGACCCAATTACAATTTCGAAATTTGAAATATAATATCCATTTGGCAAACAATACTAAAATAGATATACATGATAGATTTTATAAAGTTAGGCCTTATATTAATATATTGAATAATAAATTTCAGCAATTTGGAATTTTCAAACATCATTTATCAATAGATGAACAGATGATACCATATCGAGGAAGACATTCTTGCAAAATGTTCATAAAAGGAAAACCAATTAGATTTGGATACAAGTCTTGGATATTGGCTTCTTCCGACGGTTACGTATTCTCATTTGATATATATCAAGGAAAAAGCGAAAATAAATATGAATATGGATTAGGTGGAAATGTAATCATAAAATTATTAAAGGCATTGCAAAAACCAAATTATCATAAAATATATTTTGATAATTTCTTTACATCATTTAAACTCTTGTCATACTTAAAACAAATGGGATATTTTGCAACTGGAACTGTGAGGGACAATAGAATAGAGCATTGCCCAGTTGAATTTATAAAGGTTGTAGCAAAAAAAGATAGAGGATATTATGATTATAGGTTTGAAAAATTAAACGAAATATTTGTAGTTCGTTGGAATGATAATTCGATGGTGACCGTTGCATCGACATGCCACACTATCTCTTTGCTTTCTAATGTTTCAAGGTATTCTAAGAAAATATCTTCTAAAATAAAAATTCCTCAGCCAAATATGGTAACTGCTTATAACAAACACATGGGTGGAGTTGATCTATGTGATAATCTAATATCTACATATA